CTCAACTAGAAGTTGGTTAGGAAATTACTGGATCACCGGTCTCCAAGTTTCGATGAGCTAGGAAAGCTTGCACATCATACCTGTAAGAAAACAAGAGAGATGCATATTAGAGAATATCTGTGGAATGTGCTGAGATTGAAGAGATTAAAGAAAAGTGTTATTAGTCAGCCACAAATACTAAATATCAATGCAAGGGAATCACCATGCACCATCCCTGGCAGATCTGGCTTCAAATTCCAAGTAAGAGTTGTCTGAACCACTCCTCATGACACCGGGCACTAAGAGAACAAGCAGTAACCAATCAGGGAACATATAGCTGCATCTATGCAATAAATCCAACATACTGATCTAGACTTATGGCTTGTGTGAGAAGATAAAATTGACAAATCCAAAGATACGTAATTCTAATGGATAAGCTTCTCAACCTTTTTGATTGTGAGGAATGGAAAATGAAACAGCGAAGAAAAAAGTATATGTGTAAGGCACCTAAAATACCGGAAGTAGCAGGCGTCATGGCGGGTAAATTTCCAGTCATATGAATGGTTTTAGGATTGGCTGAAGGTTGAAGTACATTTCTCATCTGATTTGTTAGATCGACACCGCGTGGCATTGAAGTAACATTAAGCTTTCCAGGAGCCTTATTTCCCCTTGCTCTAAGAGCATATCGCCTATTTTGGAACCAGTTCCAGATCTATGATAAATAAATAAAAAAGCATTCCATCAAGTAAGAAAAGACAACACACTCTGTTTGCAAAAACTAATGAATCGAGGATGAGAAAAAAAAAAAAAACAGTACTTGCTTAAATTGCACCACAATTTTCCCCTTCCGCTCCACTGATTCACTGAGAGAGATAACAAATGTAACCAATTTTAAGATAATAAACACACAAGGAGTGCTTTTAAGACTAAAGGATTGAGCCTACAAAAAGTACATACCTAAACTTATCAGCAAGAGCTTCAAGAATCTGTCGATTTGGCATTGATGTATTATGCTGTTGCAATATTGCTTCCATCTCCGTTACCTTATAACATTCGAATATTAGCCCAAAAGCAAACAAGATAAAACCCTCTTGAAAACAAGTCACAAAACCATAGAACAACTGTATATATAATTTTCCCCAACACAGAGGAGCTACAACACAACAAAGTAGAGCCAATGGATTTCACAACATACATGAATTGAACAAAACAAAAACTTCCCTTCTAATTAGAAACCCAAAAAGCACCTCACGATTGAAATCATAAAACTTCCACAAGAGAAACAAAATTGAATTGATCTAAACCCTATCACGAACTCGAAAAAGGAGAACCCAAGCCCTAAGAAACCACAAACCCTCCCTAGAAATTAGTACAAAATCAGGAAGCTCGCAATTCCTCAAGCAACACCGAACACATACACATTAGAAAAGAGAATAATTATCAAAGATTCACTCACCTCAGGCAGGTTAAATCGGAACGCCGGACCGCCATTACTGGGAGGTCGACCCATGGTAATCTCCTTCGTCTCTCAAAGAACAAAAAAAAACGAAAAATTGGCGGCAGAAACTGAAAATCAATCGGAGAGTTTCTCTCACTTAATTTTCGAATTTCCGGTGAATCACCTATCGCCGGAGACTCAAAGACGACGTAACCGGTTTTACCCAAATTTCTTCCGTTTATATAATTTTTCAACTGTCCTAAATTTATTTGGGCTTATAAAAGGCCCATTAAATAAGCCCAATAACTGTTGCGGAAAAAAATCTTATCCGTATGGTCAAATATCCAGCTTATCCGCCTGCAAGAAGAACATTTCTCGGTATCTAAACGATGGCGAATACAGTTTCCTTGAGATAAACAAAACAAAAAAATTATCAGTGTTCAATGGCTTTGATTCCGCTTAATTTTACAGAAATGCCACTGAGAAGCTCTCTTCCTCTGACCTCGAGCTCACGCTACTGTTCGTCTCCTTCGCTCCACGCATTGCTCTTCTATTCATTGTCTGCGAAACCCTCGCGTCGATTCGTTCGGCCATTCTCTTCGCTCCGTACGAGCGAGCGTAGCAGCAGCAACAACAGGAGCCATAACAATCGCCGAATTGATCAGCGGAATCATAAACCCAACCCTCCTTGGATCGATAAATGGCCTCCGTCATCCGCCGGAGCCGGTGATCGTGGCGGGAAGAAAGTTGTTGAACACAACGGTGGAGGTAAAATTCGGTCGGCGGAGGAGGAAGCGGAAGCTAAGCTACGGTATTTGGAGAAGGATAAAGGACAAAGCGCGATTGAGAGGATTGTTCTTCGGTTACGGAATTTAGGATTAGCGTCGGACGATGAGGAGGATGTTGAAGATAGTGACGAAGGAGGTGGAATTAACGGCGGAGGTTTGAAGCCGGCGACTGGAGAAGAGAGATTGGGGGATTTGTTGAAGAGAGAGTGGGTGAGGCCTGATATGATGCTCGCTGAGGGAGAAGAAGAGAGTGACGAAGAGGATGATGTGTTATTGCCATGGG